GGTTATCCTTGGCTATACAGAGAGTTCAGCTACACAGACCATGATGAGCAAACAAGACAAGAACTTTAGAAAAAGTGCATTGAGAAACATTCATTGACAATTCTAACATCTTAGCCCAAGTGCATTCCAGTCTCACGGGGGGGGGGTGTGGAGGGGTGGGGGTGTTGCTTTTATTCAAGTGCTATTGCTCACTATCTCTGAAACATATGCTGCTCTAAGAAACTGGATCACAATAATGAAAAAGATGAAGTTGAGGTCCTTGTTACTAAAAGTTATAAGGTCTACATCTTCTGTCAAAAACCTTTTAGAATCATTCGTCCTCGATTACAAAGACTTTTGTGGAATCCATGTAGTAACATGCTGATGAACACACCTTGGACAGAAATACCTATATTTCTATTTCTCCTACTCTTCAGCATAAATGTGAGGGTACATTTGTCATTTATTTAAAACATTGTATAAATGTTTGTCTGCATGTGTACTGTGTGTGCACCTCATGCTCTTGGAGATTGGATGACGTCAGCTCTCTTAGAACTGGAGTTACATGTGGTTGTGAGTCACCATGTGGGTGCTGGGAACTGAAACCAGGTCCTCTGCAAGATCAGCAAATGCTCTTATAACCACTGAGCCACCTCTCCAGCCTCTCATTTTATTTTACTGTTTTTTTTTCTTTTCCAGATAGTATCCCTCTATGTAGCCATTGGCTAGCCTGAACCTCGCCATGCAAACCAAGTCAGCCTTTTAAATTCATAGACATCTGCCTGCCTCTGCTCCCAAGTGCTGGGACTACAGGTATTACACCACCATGCTTGGTGCCTCTATTTATTTGATAATTTATTTATCCTTATTTTATGCACATTGGTGTTTTGTCTGCATGTGAGGGTGTCGGATCCCCTGGAACTGGAGTTACAGACAGCTGGTAGCTGCCATGTGGGTGCTGGGAACTGAGCCTGGTCCTGTCTTTATCTACATTTTGCCTTGGGGCTTTTTAGCTTTTCTTTCTGTATGTCCTGCTTTATTTCTGCTGACTGACAACTGCCTGGCTACCCCCACCCCCACCCCAGGGCACCTCCCTTTCTTTCTCCCTCATTTCCCTCCTCTCTTCTGTTTATTTTCTCTGCCAGCCAGCCCTGCCTATCCCTCTTCTGCCTAGCTACTGGCCATTCAGCTTTTTATTAGAGCAATTGGGTGCCTCAGGCAGGCAAGGTGAAACAATATCACAGCTTTTCATAATTAAAGGAACACAGCATAAACAAATTCAATACATACACAGTTAAGCAAATGTAGCACACCTTTACAGTTACAGTAATATCCCACAACATAAACAAATGTAGCACATCTTTGTATAGGTAAGTATTCCATGACACACTGCCCTACCTGAGGTGGGTGGTCCCAGGAGTCCAGACTTAGCACCTCAGCTGCCACCCAGGCCCACAGACGGCCTTGGGTTGGCCCACCCTAACTTCCTAAGTTCTACACCATCTAGGATCTGCTGGAGCTCATGAAGGGACTGGTCCCGTAAAACAATGCCTGAAATAGCTCCATGACTGGGGCAGCTGTGGGATTTCCCAGAGGAATTTCAGTGAGGATTCAGTGACAATGGTGGACCAGAAACCAGAGGCCTTGGACCAGGACAGTGACTCTTTGCAACATTTGTTAGTAAAACTGTCTGGACAAAAGGGTATACTATGTAACACACCACTTCCAATGCCACCAGGATGAATGAAGAGGTGTTAGGCAGAAAAGAAGGAGAAGCAAACAGGGTTTTGTTTTGTTTTTTTCCGAGACAGGGTTTCTCTGTGGCTTTGGAGGCTGTCCTGGAACTTGGCTGGTCTCAATCTCACAGAGATCCGCCTGCCTCGGCCTCCCGAGTGCTGGGATTGAAGGCGTGCGTGCGCTGCTGCCGCCGCCGCTGCCGCCGCCACCACCCTGTGCAAACAGGGTTTTTTGTTTGTTTTGTTCTTGTTTTTGCTTGTTGCTTGCTGGTTTGATTTTTAAAGATTTTCTTTTCTGGGGGAGCACGGCAGGGGCGTGGGGATGATATGAGGGACCAGGAGGTGAGTGGAATTAGGTGGGGATGCGAAATTCCCAAAGACTCAGTAAAGAAATTATGTTTAAAAAATGCACAGGAAAAAAATGTATTCTGGAGAAAGACTAAAGCTCCACAAATCTTGAGGCCCAGGGCTCTTTTTTTTGTAAAGAGTTAAAGTGCTGTTCTTTCAGACTGCTTATTTTGGTGAACTCAAGGGAAAAGCTGTTCCCTCTGGATCATCATTATCTTTAATCAGGGCTTTTCCTTGGTGAGTGTTCAAAGTCCTCTCAATTAGCCTCTCCATATACAAGCCTCCCCGGACTTTGAGCTGAGTGTAGCAGATTGTAACTGTCTTGAGCTTTCTGGCTGGGGTTGTGTAGATGTGCCAGCCTTCCTGGGTGGGACCAGTCCCTCCCTGCAGAGGACCAGCAGGAGGGCTTCATGGATAATGACGCACAAGATACATTACTTGACCTTGGACAAGGTGTATACTTTTGGGGGGGGCTTATTCTACAGTAGACTGACTTCTAGGATGATTTTTCTCTGATCTATCTTCTAGCTTTCAAATTCTATTTCAAATAGCTCCTAGCTTTCAAATTCAGGAAGAGTGTTTGGCTATGTGAGTTTAAAACAGGCACAGGAATGAATGAAAACAAAAAAACAACTAAAATTCATTCTATATATCAAATACCATATTAGTCCCTATTTGTCAGGGGCAGACCACCATGACTGAGGCACTGAAGTTGTGACTTTTTTTGTTTGTTTGTTTTGGTTTTTCGAGATAGGGTTTCTCTGTATTGTTTTGGAGGCTGTCCTGGAACTTGCTCTGCAGACCAGGCTGGCCTCGAACAGCCCTGGCTGTCAGGGAACTCACTCTGTTAGAAGGCTGGCCTCGAACTCAAAGAGATCCTCCTGCCTCTGCCTGCCAAGTGCTGGGGTTCAAGGCGTGCGCCACCACCGCTGGCTGAAGCTGTGGCTTTTAAAAAGGCACCTTTCCCAGCCTTCCCTTCCTTCTTCCCTATGTTTTCTCTCTTCTTTTTCCAGGGACTTCTCCCAGTGTGTCCACATGAGGGGGCAGCAGCGATGGCTATGAAAGGTTTGCAGTAAACGTTGCTCCAGCTGAAGCACATTTTACATTTGCCTTGTGGCTCATCTGAAAAAACCTGGGTCTCTCCAGGACACTGTAAGGGGTAGCGGGGGAGGAACTGGTAGATGACTCTAATCATACGAGGGAATGGAGGGGGGGTGTCAAATACTCCCGTTTTTGTTTTTCTGTATCAGGATGCCTGTATTTCTTCTGTTTCTCTGTCCACCCCACAGCTGCACATAAATGCGAAGCCTGAGACTCACTGAATATCTATCTAGTCAACATTCATTCATCGGGAACCAAGTGAAGTTCTATTGAGCATACACAGGCAGGCAATGTCTCCGTTTCTGATACTTTTTCTCTTCCACCACTGAGTATCTGCGTGAAATGGGAATCAGTAGTGAAGTTTTTGAAGAAGCAGATATTGAAATTGATCGATTTAATTCCCAGGTTCATAATAACAGTAAGTTGAAGTCACAGTTTTGCTTCTTCTTTTTTGTTTTTCGGGACAGGTTTTCTCTGCATAGCTTTGAAGTCTCTCCTATCACTGCTCTGTAGACCAGGTTAGCTGCGAACTCAGGGAGATATGCCTGCCTCTGCCTCCCAAGTGCGGGGATCAATAGCGTGCACCACCACCGTTCAGCTAGTTTTGCTGCTTTTTATTAAGGCATATATTTGACGTTAAATTTTTTCTTAAAAAAAAACAAAACCTTAGTTCTGTATAGATGGCCTTAAACATCTGACTATCCTATGTCCACCTTCCAAATTGTGGGATTACAGGTGTGAGGCACTATACACGGTTTTCTCTTTGAGGCAGAAGCTCCATCTGAAGCCCAGGCTGATCTGGAAATCATGGCAATCCTCCGGCCTCACCAGACCCCGGTACTGGAGTATAAAACTGCGCCTCCACGGGTGATTTGATAGGATACTTTTCTAGGCTTCAGTTTCCTTCTGTGTAAGTAGAATTCCTTACAAGTATAGAGTTGGCAGATTCACCAAAGATCCGAAACAACCAGGAAGTATATTCCAAAGTGAATGTCCTTAATGTTAAAAGTTATCCTACCGTTGTGTGAAATTCGGATTTAACTGAGCACTCCCATTTCACCTCACAGCACCGGACCCGTAAAGGCAACACATATACTATACAAGTTAAGTCCTCATTACGATCCAAAGCAATTAGTGAGGACTCTAAATTTTTTGCTTTGCTTTTTGTTACCGTTTCCTTATTATTTGCGAGACACGGCCCATAATAATGTTACCTTGGTAAGATTTGGATTAGATTCCAATGCCCAGGTTCCCCCTTCCCAAAACAAACAAACAAACACGCGCTCCAAGAGTTTGCACTGCGTTTCGGGCAGACGACGGTAGCGCTATCTCCAATAAAGCTTTACGGTCCCCGCAAGACTTTCAAAGCCCGGCCAATGGTGGCAAGCCTTCGGGGGATGGAACGATCCCAGGGCCGCGCTGGCCGTCGCGGCAGCCCCGGCACACGCCTCGCGGGAGGACACTCCGGCTCGTCCCGCGCCAGCTCGTCCACTCAGCAGCCGCGCCGCGCCTCCGCCGCCCTCCCATAGGTCCTTCCGGGGACAGGCGAGGGCTTTTCATTTTCCCGCCTGCTCGGCTGGGCTCCGAGGCCCTCGGCGTTCCCCCCCCCACACCCGGCCTTCCGAGCCCGCCCCGCCCTTCCGGACGCCACCTTCCCCCACCCGCCTCCGGGACAGCCCGGAGGGAGCGGCCGCCGCCCTGCGAGCCGGCGGGAGGGAGGCCTGGGCGAGCCGCGGGAGGCGGGGCGGAAGGAGGGGGCGGGGCCCAGCGCCTTGGCGCCGCGTTGCCATGGCAGCGGGGCGGGGAGGAGGAGGAGGAGGAGGAGGGAGGAAGCGGGCGAGCGGGAGGGGGATGTGGTGCTGCGGCGGCCGCCACCGCAGCTGCCGCTGCCTGCTCGCGGCTGGGTGTCCCGGAGGCGGCTGCTGGGAGCCGCGGGAGCAGCTGCGGTGCTCTGCCATATTGTGTGTGGCCCGGCTCCGGGCCCGGCCCTCGCCTCCCCTTCGCGGCGGCTGGAGCTGACGGTGAGTTCCCCGGGGCCGAGCGGCGCGGGCGCGGAGGGAGGCAGCGCGTGGGGCCGGCGGCGCAGGGAGGCGGCTGTCCCGTGACGCGGCGGGACATTTTTTTAAATTTTTTTTTTGTCCCGTGAAGAACTGCCTGGCTTCCCGGCGCGCGGCTCGGGCGGAGCGTGGGTTCCCCGGGGGTGTGGAACTGAGAGGCGAGCACGGCCCCCGTGAGGAGTTAGGAGTTTCTCCCGAGGTAATGACCGTCCCGAGGGGGCGTCGCGCGGCCCGAGCCTCGGTGGGCACGGCCCGGGGCGAGCTCGGCTGGAACCTGCGACCGGAGAGTTGCTCTTAAGCGCCCGGGGAGCCCGCGCCACGTCGCCGTTCGGGCTCCGATCCGAGCGGGACGCGCGTGGCGTGGAGTCCGGGTCCGGTCGGGTCCGGCCCCGGGCGAGCGGGGCGGGACGGCTGGGCCCGGAGAAGTAGTGCCCCGGAGGCGCCGCGCGCGACCCGCGGGAACTTCGGGCGCGGGGCCTGGATGTGGGGTGGTGGCCGACCCCGGCCCCGCTGCTCGCCGCTCCTCCGGCCGGCGCCCCCCGAGGGGAGCGGGCCACCGGCTGGGTTGGGACTCGGACTGCTTGCTGGAGCGTTGCAATATGGACACTTCCTGTTCGCCTTCTCCTCCGGGGCCGAGGCTGCTTCTGTCTGCCCCTGCCCTCGGGTCGTCGGCCCCGCCGGGAGGGGTCCGCGGTGGTCGACCGCCTTGAGCTTGGGAGCTGGCCCTTGCGCAGCGGCCGGCGGCCTGCAGCCCCGCGCCGGGTGGGAGTGGGGGGGGGAGGTAGTCCATGTGCGAGGTGCTCGCTCTTCACTCCAAACTCCGCCCCCGGCTACCCTCTTGCAAAAAAAAAAAAGCCACTGTCGCCACTGCACCTCACGCGACTTGGGGTGCTGTTTCCTTGGGGAGCCGCACTCCGCTTGCACTTCGTTTCTACTTTAAAACCTTCCTTTTCATCTAATAGGTGGGGCGGGGTGGGGCGCGGGGAGTCCCAGGTGCGGAGAAATGACAGACTTTTTTTTTTCTTCCCCCTACTCGAAACTCCGATGAGAGCGGTTAATTATTTCCAGGTTAGTTGGTGCTCTTTCTCCTGTCTTCTGATTGTGACAGCCACGTGGCCGGCTGAATGCAATAGAGTGCTCTAGCGGCCAGAGGACGGGAGGCTTCTCAGGTAGCCGGGGCTTTTAATGGTTTAGTCTTGGGTTCTGCTACAGGCAGACTTCTCTCTGACACGGGGTAGTGGAAAAAGCCGAACCGATCGAGTCTAGGAGTTTCACCTGAATCGTCTAGGGGCTTTGCTTGCGTTTTCTCTGGTAAGGTGTGTATTAACATTTCTGCCGTTCTCTGCAGCTCAGATGATTCGTCTTAAAATGTTAGTTAGGTATCATCAAAGAGTGATGGGGAGTTGGTAGAGCGGTGCCTTTATGGAATTACCTGACTCTCAAGTTGTTTGAATTTCAGAACCATTAGCTGGAGATTCTAATGAACGTGAAATGATCACATTCCGGTGTTTTGAGTTCGTGAAAAGACTCATTTTTCTTCTTTTTACACAGAGATTAGCGATGGAATACCTTTTTAGGGGTAAATACCAGTCTGCTTTGTATACAGTCAGATTTGAGATGTCAGTTAGTAGGAAAATAATTCATCTTGAGTGGAAAATTGCCTTTTAGAATGAATAAAGGTGAAAGGGAAAGTAAAGATAAAAAACTTTTGGAGAGTAAAACTTTAGAATGTCTACATTTCTAGATACCAATGAGTCAGTTTTGGATTGCTTTGACAGTTTGATTTGCTTCTGTAATACCTTTCTTTTATACTTAGTTTTACTTGATTGCTGAGCCATAGGAAGGAAACACCTTAGATTTGTGCAGGATTGTGGGGGGAAATCATTACAACTCCGCATACTGGAATTTCGATTATCCTGTAATGTTTGTACAAAGTGAAGTTAATGAAGGTATTGAAGAGGTTCTGTAGGGCTTGCTACTGTAGAAAAAATAGAATTGAAAACTGAATGTGTGCTGGCCTCTGAGAGCAGTGCTTAGTTTGAGAAAGAAAAGTAAATGAACTAAAGAGATGTAAAGCCAGAAGACCAAAAACATATGCTGCAAGATAGAACTTATGTCATTTGTAATGCGATCTAATAACAAACTGAAACTTAAAAGTATTTCTCAAACTGGAAGTGATCTGTGTGCGTGTGTTTTGAAAAGACTTGACTATATGGTCCGGTGTGGCTTTGAATTTGGAGTGACCCTCCTGCTTCTGCATCTTTTGTGTTGTTCTGAGACATGGTCTCAGTATGTGGCTCTGGCTGCCCTGGAACTTGCTATGTAGATCAGGCTGACACTCCACTTGCAGAGATCCATCTGCCTCTGTGTCTTGAATGCTGGGATTAATAGTGGGCACCACCAAGGATGGCTGCCTGTGGTTTTGTTTTGATTGTTTGAGACAGGATCTTATATAGCCCAGGCTAGCCTCAAGCCTGGTGTGTGGATGAGGATGACTTTAAACTCCCAGTCCACCTGCCTCTGTCTCCCCAGAGCTGCTATTACAGGTGTACACTACCACACTTGGCTTGTATGTGTTTTGTTGCTGTTTGTTTTGGCAATTAAAAAGAATAGTTATTTTTGAAATAATATTTTTATTCTTTAAGAATTTCATACAAGAAACCCCCCAAATCCAACCTCACCTCTATACATACCCAAATTCACATACTTTTTTTTTTTAACCCAAGAATGGTTTTAGGTTTGTCCGTTTTGGTTTCTCAGTGTCTAACTCAGAGTTCTGTCTCTGCCTCCAGAGTGCTGGGATTAAAGGCATGTGCCACCACATCCAGCAAGAATTTTTGCATGCTTGTTTTTTGTTTTTCAAGACAGGGTTTCTCTGTGGCTTTGGAGGCTGTCCTGGAACTCACTTTGTAGACCAGGCTGGTTTCGAACTCACAAAGATCCTCCTGCCTCTGCCTACGAATTTTTTTCTAATGTCTGTTTTGTTGTTGCTTTTAGATTGTGTAATTTAATAACTGGGTTTTATGTAAATGCAAAGGTCTTCCAAAAATAGCTTTGAGAGCTCAGGACTTTACTGATGTAGGGAAGAAAAAGATATAGATCTAATCTTTTTCTTGGGTTGAAATTGAACACAAGAGAGAAGTTGACAGCTGAGACAATGTAGGAGCTAAACTGGGTGTAAAGGTACAAGCTGTGAGAGGTGAGTGGAGAGGGAACTGTAGAAGGCTTGGGTGGGTAGGAGAGGCTTCCTGGAGAAGGAAGGCTGTGTCTTTTTAAAGGGGAACTTCATCTCCATAATCTTCCTGTAGATAATGCCACCCAAATGGCCACACCCCTTTTAAAAATCAACCATGAGTCTTTTCTTTCACACTTTGGTTCCAGTCTTTTTCCATCTTAGTCTTCCACTATGCTGTAGAAACGGTTAGTTCTTTACACCTCAGCACTGCAGTTTATGCTGTGCCTGTGTTGACAACACCTGTTTATCTGTTGGAAATATACTTGGACATTGGAGCTTTGGGCCTTGTTGAAACACTGATTGCTCAGTGCAATCACAGACTTTTAGGCTCACCTTTACTTTCAACTGTAGTTTCTTCTCCTTCCATGAGAGCATGTAATTCCATAGGTGGTGGCATTCTCTACTGCCTCGTGACTAAACAGAATAAATAAATACCAAGCACTTAGCCATGTGCCAGCCTGTGTTATAGGAGCAGCGTATAGTATTGAACAAGAGGAATTCCTTTGTATTTTACCACCCTAGTTAGAGTATATGCTTTGACCACTTATTCGGGCCTTATTTTAGATCTCTACTCTCTGCCCAGTTTGAATGAAGAAAAAGTAGGATTTGGGTGTGAGATGTGAAGATAAATAGATCTGTCTGTCTTATAAGTAAAGGTGGGAAAAGAACCACTTGTGAATTTCCTGCAGAAGGTTATGAAACCCTCCTGAGAAGGTTCATTTCACTGCAGTGTGGTGCAGCGCTCAGAGGAAATGGGAGGAGCTGGGAAGAGCATTATTGAAGGAAAAAGTAACAGTCAAGTTAGGGAGGGTGTTTATTGACAGAGAGCTCAAAGTAGAGGAGCAGGAGGTAGATGTCAGGGTGGACATGACCTGTAGGATGACGGTAGGGTGCGGGTAATGCAGAGGTGGCAGCTAGTGGTGGGTGAAGTGTTGAGGACTGTAATGGGCTTTGCACTGGTGACATGGAGGTCTGTAATGAGTACTGTCTCAAGACTTGTAAACTCCTATGGTACTACTTCACAGATACCTTCAGCTCCACTAGAACAGAGGCCAAAAGAACATTCATCCTCTTTAGTTTTTATTCAAACAGACTTTGTTTTAGAATAGTTTTTTGGTGGTTTTTGTTTTGTTCGGTTTTTCCGAGACAGTTTCTCTGTAGCTTTGGAGCCTGTCCTGGAACTCACAGAGATCCACCTGTCTGTCTCTCTGCCTCCCAAGTGCTGGGATTAAAGGCGGGCCCCACCAACGCCTGACCTTCTTAATTTATTTATTTATTTTCATAGAATAATATGTGCAGAAAACATGCAGAAACCTCACCCAGTTTCCCTGATTGTGTGTCTTCCTTACTCTGGTGCAGTGTCATAATTAAAGAAGCAGGATTCCTATATGACTGTTAAACTGTCATTCAGATTTCTCTAATTTTTCTCTGATGTCCCCTTTTATCCCAAAACTACAGTTTTTCAGACATTGATGACATGAGAGCTTCCAGGTCTAATCAGAAATTTTATAAAATGTCCCTCAGTTGAGATTTACCCGGTGTCTTTCTCATGATGAGACCTGGCTTGTAGGTCTAGGGAGGAAGGTAAAAGATAAAGTGTCTTCAGGTATATTAAGGGTACATGCCGACATACCATACAACAGATAACCTTCACCGTTGTGAATCTGTCTTGCCAGAGATATATATATATATATATATATATATATATATATATATATCTTATACACTT